CTTTGACTATCTAGACCCTTCCTGCTTGCCAGGAGTTCTTTCTGGGTATACCTTGCCTCCCTTACCAGACTGAGGGAAGGCAGATAAGAGTCCAGTTATTGCTATAAGTAACAGGTGCTCTGTCCTGGATAAGGCAGATCAAGAGCCCCTGGGATTTACAGGGTCCAGGAGCTCCCCAACTATGGTCTTGGCAAGCCTAGGATTCTGCATGGTGGGCCACCCTAGTGCTTGATCCTGAGGGACACTGACCCCCTTCCCAACCTTCTAGATGGGACCAGTTCGGTTCTGCCTTTATGTCTCCTATAAACTGGAAACCACAGCAACTGTTGATATCCATTTAGTTTGAGCTGGTCAGGCTTTGGGGTGAAGAAAATGAGTCAGGAGATGTGGAAAGTGATCTGATCAAGTTCATCTGGTGGCTAAACCTTATCAAGAAACTTGTGAATCGCAAGGAAACTACTGAGTCACAGGCCAGGTGTGTATCCCACGGGCTCAGTGAGCTCTTAGCACAGCTCACCTCGACCTTAATGAGGGGTCCCCGGGCTGCGTCTGGGTCTCATCCCCTGGTGGCACCGTCACATGCAAGCTGGTTTCAGAGACCGAGGTCAGCAAGAATTAGGTTCCCCAGAGCTAGTCAGCAGCATTCAAGCCAGCCCACTGGACACAAGTGTCCTTCACTCGTTTTGTAGTGGAGGAAACAAAGGTTCAGAGGTGTCAGCTATCTCGTTACTGTCACTCGCAGCTGGGATTCTGGTTCTTCCTGTCTCTGACAGGGTAGATGTGAGTTCTGCGATGTGATCTCTCTCGTGGCGGGCAGCAAATGGCAAATGAACAGATGTTGTCAAGAGGGTGACAACAGGTAGAGGGTGAGGGGAAGACATCAAGTTGGGGACGACACTCCTGTAGAACCTTTCACAGGAGAAATACAACTTCATATAATCAGCAAATCTGCCCTGAACTTTCTTTTTATGTTAGTGGTTATCTGAAAACTCCGTAAACAATGTTTTCCTAATTTTTAATTAAAATATAATTTGCATGCAATAAAATCCACAAACCTTAAGCGGTCCATTCAAGTTTTGGCTTAAACTTGTATACCCAGATGAAATATTAAATATTTGCATCCTCCCAAAAAGTTTCAATTCCAGTGAATTTTCCTTCTGTCCTTGCAGGCAAACATTTTCTGATTTATCGTTGTTAATTACCTTTGCTTGTGGTTGGACTTGGTGAAATTCACATATGCTCAGTTACTCTGTGTCTTTTTCATGTCTGGCTTATTTCACTTGACATGGTGTTATTATTGTTTTTTTTTTTTTTAAATTATCTGTGTTGTTGTGTATATAAGTTGTCCCTTTTGATTGTGGAGTAGTATTCCTTTGTATAGATATATGACAATTTTTTTTATGTATTCTGCTGGTGAACTTTTGGGCCTTTTAAGTCTGGACTATTTCTCTTTTAAAGAAATATTTATTTATGTGGCCCTCTCTGGTGGTGCAACAGGTTAAAGCACAGCACTATAAGCAAGCCACAGCCCCTTTAGTGTGAGTTCGATTTCCAGCCCTAGAGGTGACCCACACAGCGCACCAGACCTCTCCTGACCTGCCTGCTACTCAGAGGTATACTTCATCAATCTGCCTGTTCTGCTCCCCACTCTGTCTCTGGTGAATCCTCACCCCCTGCACCTCTGGCCTGTACCCCAGTTCTGTTTGCATGAATAAATAAATCTTTTAAAAATATTTATTTATGTATTCAAGAACTGGGGTATAGGCCAGAGACACAAGGGTCGGGGGGAGGGTGAGAAAATTTGCCAGAGACAGAGTGGGGAGCAGAATAGGTGGATCTACTGACATACACTGCTGAGGGGAGCAGCGGGACAGGAGGGGTCTGCTGTGCCATGTGCGTGAGCTCCCTGGCCAGGGATTGAACTCATGGTACAGTGTCTGTGGATAGCTTCATAGTGCTGAGACTTGACTCCTTGTGCCACCAGGGAGACCCCAAGTCTGGACTATTTCTTATCGAATGTCTTGTGGACATTTGTTGAATGACATTGTTGGGTTACAGGAATTATCACTTTGCATCCTCACAGCAAAGTATGAGACTTATAATTAAGCCACATCACTGTATTTGCCACCCATCTTTTTAACTTGCGTGATTTTGGTAACTGAGCAGCTGTGTTTTTATGCCTTCTGTTTTTATGGTGGCATTGTAAAAGTATTGGCAACAACACCATGAGGAAGGGGCAGAAGAAGACGTCGGCATGGAGGCTCACGATGTGTGACTTGGGAGGGAAAGAACTAACGGCTGGAACTGTGACCTTAAGAACAGAAGGAGCGTTCTCTGTGTCTCTGTGTATCAAGGAAATGTCTGAGTTGTGCAGATGTGGTGCTTACACTCTACAAACCAGTCAGGCTCATCCATTCTTTTAGTTTTAAATGCTACCTGTGTAAAAGCCATCTTTTTTTTTTTTTTTAAGATTTATGCATACAGAACTGGGGTACAGGCCAGAGGTGCAGGGGCAGTGAGAGGCTTCACCAGAGACAGAATGGGAAGCAGAACAGGTAGATCAATGAAGTACACTGCTGAGGGCAGGTCAGGAGAGGTCTGCTGTGCCATGTGGGTCAGCTCCAGGGCCGGGGATCGAACTTGCACTGAGGCGGCTGCGGCCAGCTTGCAGTGCTGCGTCCTCACCAGTTGCACCACCAGGGAGGGCCTGTAAAAGTCATTTTTATTTCCAGTTTATTTCTCTGCTTTGGGTTTCTGAGTTACGTGTTTACCTCTCTTGGTGTCTCCAAGGCACTGCAAACTCTTGAGCTCAGGATGGAATTCATGTCTCACCTTGGCTCTCTGCCTGCATAACCACGGTGCACTAGTTGGGGTGATTAGAAAGCAGACTGTTGGGAGGGGTGTGTGTGTGTGTGTGAATTTGGCCTCTGCTAAATGGTGCAGAAAAGTCTGGGAGGTGGAGTGATGGCTTTTGGCCGTGAGGGGCTCCCAGAATCTCCTGAGAGTAGTTTTGGTGGAGAGAAAGGCAGGCTAGCTGTTCTAGGATTCCAAATGACTGGCCACCCCCACGGGAGAGAAGGCAATGGGGACAGTGATGTACTCAACTCACCCAGGAAGTCTCTGGGAGAAGATCAGAGTGGGGAGACTGGGTGAAGAAAGAATTTAAGGATGGGCAGAGGAGTGAATGGTAGCCTCAGGGGGATGCAGTCTGGGGGAGGAAGGGGGGCAGATAGAACAAAGTACCAGGAGGAGGGGGGATGCTTGGAAAGGAGGGTGTGTGTTCCCCACTCTGAGACTGGATGTGAGAGAATGAAAATGAAAAACTTTATCAGCTACAGAATGCACACAACCATGCACACAACCCCTAATCACGACATGCAAGTTTCTTAA